GCCCCAGACCAAGGGTATTCCAGCCACCCTATAACCTGCCCCACATCAGGAAGGGCTTGTGTTCTATAAAGCCAAAGCTCTGGCTCTCTTGGTGCTCATACTATCTGCTCACCTCTGTGTTGCTCGCATGGCTCTGATGCTGCTCAGTCCCGAGAGGGTCTCTGAGAAGTGAGTGTAAATGGGAGACAGGGTGACGCTGTAAAGGCGCTTGAGCTCCCGGGATGTGCGTCGGTAATAGCGCTGGATGGAGAAGTAGAGTACAGCCAGAGGGAGTAAGACCACACCAATCCAAGGGAGGCCATAGGTGATTATCACCAGCATGCCCAAGAGTCCATACATGTTGGCCAGGAAGATGTTGAGGACAAATGGCAGGCTGTCATCCACACAGTACAGGTCTGAGGAGAAGCGGTTGAGGATCCGGCCTGTTGGTGTGGTGTCAAAGAAAGTGACTGTGGCCTGGCAACAAGGGAACCACAAAGCAGTCAGAACCACTGCAGCCAGTCAGCTGCAGTGAGATCCATCCACAGAACAGTGCCCAGGAGAGCAGATAAGGCCACAAAGGGGTGGCCACCACAGCCCACTTCCTTTCCTCAGCTGAAGAAGCAATCTCAGATTCCAAAGCTAGCATTCACTTGCAGTCAAACAACTCTTGTTTTGCATGGCAAAAGGAAGCAGTCCTCCTGCAGCAAATGGCACACAGCTATCAAGATCATAGTCACTCAGATGACATACTGGCCCCCACCAGTAGCCAGTGAGACCACCCTCTAATTCTAGCCTCTAATCCAAATTTCCAATCCTCTAATCCTCCCTCTTGCCTGAGAACCCAAGGAAGCCCAAAATATAAAGAAAGTTAACTGGCACACACCAGCATCAGCCCTAAATCTTGCTTAATGGCTCCTTCCAAATCTCATCTGAATCTGAGCTCATGATCCTGCAAAAGCTACTTTGACTCAACCGGCCCTCATCTTGGCTATATAGCTAAGCCTAATGAGTGAACAGATGCAGGTAGCAGCCATAAAACACCCCTCCATGGAATGAATAGGACACATTTTGAACACAAGCCCATTGGCCCCTTGTGCTGGCTGTTGTGCAGCCATTTTTGGACACATTCCTACCAGACAATACCAACAGAAACCCTAATCTACCTCCCAAACCCCTAGTCTCAGCCAGGAGAAGAATGTCAGCTTGCAGAAGCCTCAGTCTGCCCTGGACCTTCTGTCCATTACCTTCAGAGCCCTCTGGAGCAGTCGGTTGTGAATGGCAGTGGCAGCGCGGATAGTGCCATAAGCAAAGAGGAATGCCCGAAGAATGGTGAAGAGGGAGTTGGCTCCTGCAATGCTCCCATAAACTATCAGGTAGAAATTCACATCCAATGAGCCATTGGAAGGGACTGGAGTGGTGTCCAGAGCTCGAATGGGGGAGCTGGAACAAAGAAGGAGGAAGATTATGAATCTGCCAAGGTCTCCCTGACAGTAAATTCATGGACAGGGCATGAGAACCCAGGAGCACACTCAAGGGGAAACCAGGATACCTTAATCCAGTACTCCTGTGATGCCCCTTTGACATGCTGGCACAAACACTCTTTGATTACTATGCAGGTAGGGGTATTCCAACAGCCCCAGGCAGAAGCCCTTTGGGCACCTCATCAGGTCACAGATTTTGATTCTCCTTGTCAAAGCAGCCACACACATGCTCTGCAGTCAGGTGGTCAGCTTATCTATCCCAGCTCTCAACAAAGATCTTCACAGGAAATGCACTTAAGGGCAAAATGGAAGTGTGAGCCAGCCTTTGGCACCTACTGACCAGATTCACTTACACAAGCCCAACAGTGGAGAAGAGAAGCAGCTCTGGGGAAGGCAGGGAGGCTGAGAAGACCATCACAGAGGTATTTGCTGTCTGGGATATGCTGGAGATCCAGTGTGACAGCCACCAATCTGAGATATTTCTGGATGCTACAGAGAAAGACAGACTACATAAAGACGAATTCAACATTTCAATCAGCAAATATGAAGCAGAGAAGCTGGAGGGGAAGCTGCTGAACAACTTTTGCATGGTCTCACTGCCCAGTCTGATCTTCCTACCGTTAGTATAGAGCAGGAGCAAGAGAATGGCCTTGATCTGCAGCAGCAACAGAGCACTGTTAGAGGAGAAGAAATGCAACTGCAGCAGTGAGGACGACAGATCCTGTTTCCACAGGTGCCCCTTCCCTACTAAAGTAGCTCCTTGAGCTATTTTAATTTGGGGAAGAGAAAAGGGGCCTTCCTGCTACAGTGCCTCTTTCCTTGCCTGGACTCCATGCAACGAGGGAACAAGACAAGAGGAGAGGAATGTCTAAAGTGCTGCTGGGCCACTGCCTCACCTTGCATCAGGAGCAACGAGAAGAGGATGGATAATGCCCAGCAGGTGCCCACTGCCAGCCAATATGCCTTGTACACCTGAAAAGCCACTGCCCCTTCTTTCTTCTCTTCCTCCTTGTGGATAAGACTACTGTTTTGCGTTGGTTCTTCTGCCTCTGCCTCTATGGCCTCCTCTTGGCCCTGTTCATCAGGGGCTGTGGGAATGGAGGTAAAAGCAAAGGTCAGTGCAATGTTAAGTTTTTCCTGCAGCTGCTCCTTGCTGTGAACAGAGCAAGTCTAGGCTATAAGGGAGACTTTTCTTCCCTCCTCTGTCAAAACAGGTGCACCAATTCTGGCAGTTCTTCATCTAGAGCTAGACCACAGGTGGAACACCAGTTTCAAATACTACTCCAGGCCAACACCCAAAGACGTGTGGGCCTCCTGTCCCTCTATGTACACACTACCCACAGATCAGCACTGCCACAGCAGAGCAAGGTGGTGGGTACTCTGCTCTAAGGCCAGCAGCCATCAGGTACAGCTTCTGTCTGGATGGTCAGCTGTGTTGCCCCAGGCACCCTCAAGCTTGCCATGCACAGACCTTTATCCTTCTGACTCTTGTCCATATCTTTGAACTTGGGGAAGGCTTCAACAAGTGGCAGGATATCAGCTGGTGTGCCTGTGAAGAGAGACATGCAAATGCTTCAGAGTCTGTGAGGAATAGATGCCAGCCACTCACAGCCTCTTGCTCTGAAATGGCCCAGTTTTATTCTCCCGTAACATTTCCTATGTTATGCAGCAACTGCGCCTTGCAAGCCCTGCTCCATTCAACCTGCTATGGCCTTCTGCCTTATTAGCTGTCCACATCTAGGGCTATCCTGTTTTATCTGTGCATCTGTACATTCTCTTCCACCCCATCTTTGCCCACATGCAGTGTCCTCAAGTTCTTTTATCACTGGGTTCCCCATTAGTTAATCCGAATCTCTTATGTCCATCTTTGCTCAAGCAATTCCAACACAGAGGCACAAATGAATGTCTGAGAAGACAGCCCATGTACCTGTCTTAACTATCCTGCCATTGTCTATCAACAATAAGGCATCAGCCTTCTCCAAACACTCTGTCCTGTGGGTGCACAGGATCCTCGTCTTGTGTTTGAGAACTCCGAGAATGCATTTCTGCATAAGATGCTTGGCTACGTCTGCATCCACAGCAGCCAGGGGATCATCAAGGAGGTAAATCTCTTTCTCCTGAGAGGGAGACAAAAGACAAGGATACAGCTGCTGGCCCTGCTGGAGCAGGCAGTGCTGTAACAAGTGCATGTGCCTCTGTGTGGCACACAGCCAGCAAGCACCTTTAGGCCAGCATGACATGCTGCCAGAGCTCACTGTACAGCTGGGTGTGTACAGCTGCTTTACATCTGACTTGGCACGGAGCATGATGTCCCACACAAAAACTCCTTTGTTATTTACCTGGTACACGGCTCTGGCAAGGGCTAATCGAGCCTTCTGTCCCCCACTGAGTGTCACACCATTTTCACCAACCTCTGTCTGGTCACCTGCTGGTAAAATCTAAAGCATTCAAGAAAATCCATTTAGAAGAGACAGGATACAGCTCAGGACCCAAAACCAGACCCTCTCCTGCCTCTAGCAGTATTTCCTTAGGGTGACACCTTAGCAACAATTAAACAGTCCATACACACTGGTTCTACAGACAACTGGCAAGCTTGGCATTTATGCCAAATCATTGGATTCATAGATCCTGCCAAAGCAAATAGGAGCTGCTAGTGCTTGGCGCATCAGAAAATCAGGCATTGGCTTATGAACTGGGAGGAGAAGGCTAACTAACACAGCCATAAGCCTCAAATCTAGAGTATCTATATTAATGACAGGAGGACCACAAACTTAACCCTTCCAGATCCCAAGGAAATTGCTTCTGATCCAAAAAAAGCATCAGCTGCTGATGCTTTCAGGTTTTGCCTATAAAAGGTGGCAGTCATCAGCTCTGCAAGAACATCTCCTTTCCCCAGGATCAAGTGCTTTTGGCTCAGCAGCCAAAGAAACCATCCAAAGTGCTACCAGAGTGACTTCACACCTTAAAGTAGTATGGGGCCAGGAATGGTCTGGGGTTGGCATCAGAGTAACTGTGTGATTAGGACATCGGAAAAGCAGTCTATATCCTGAAAGAATGAGAACTGCTCCCAGTGAAGCTCAGGCTGGATGCACAAGCTGGCCAAGAAGGCCCAGGCAGGTTTACAGTTCAGGCACTCACATTCAGGTCCTCAGAAAGGGCACAGGCCTCCACCACCTCCTCATACAGCTGGGCATGATATTCCCGCCCAAAAAGGATGTTTTCACGGACAGTGGTAAACTGTATCCAAGGCTCCTGGGTGGCCAGACCAAATCCTTGCTCTAGGTCGTAAACATACACTCGTCCACCTTGTCTGCAAGCACAACAGAAGTGGGTGGAAAGGGTAACAAAGGGCAGATCAAAATGGTCTACAAATAGGATAGCACTGGACAGTCCCTGTGTGCTGTGGCATGGAGGGACCAGGCAGAGAGAAGTCTTTATTCTACTTACTTAATGAGCTCTCCAGTGATGGCTGCAAGCAGAGAGCTTTTGCCAGAGCCGACCTTCCCAACAACCCCCAGGAGCATCCCCTGCAATGGGAAATGAAAAGGAACAAACCTGATGTGCTAATACAGGGTAACTTGTCAGGATTTCTTGAGCCACATGTAACTGGTAAGAAAGCTGACTGCTAGGACTACATTGTAAGTTCAGCAGCAGAGCTGGGTACAGTTGTTGGGTAAACCAGAGTCCTGATACGACAGGACACAAATTTGCTAGGATTGTTAACTCTAGAGCCCTGCTCTGTTCCCTGTCCAGTCCTCCCCTGCAGTAATGGTAGAACGCAAAGTGAACTAGTTCATCTTCTGCCTGTAAGCCATGCCGGGATGTCCTCCAGCACCTTTCAGCTCTGAGATGTGGTATGTGTCCTGTGCCTCTTGACCAAGAGAAGATTTTGATGCACAGCTCCTAAGATGAGGAAAACATGCAAACATGCCACCTCTGCTCCATTACTTGGCTTCTCTAGTGCCACTCTTCCATGTTACCTCCTGTGTCCTTGCTCACCTTTCTCACTGACAGGTTCTCAATGTGCAGTTGCAGGGTGCCTGTGGATAAGGGCTGCCTGGTGCTTTCCTCCTCAACTGGCACCCACGAGAAGGTGGCACACTGCATTGCCACGGCAGTACCAGTATCTGAAGGGCTATCTGCAAGTGAAGAGCAGCACAGCATTGCACTACTATGAGAAGGCAGAAAATTAAATGCACCTGGCATCTCAAATACTATCAGCACCGCCACCATGCTCCTGACCCAAGCACAAAATGAGACCCTTGCCTACTACTTGCTGTTACAACTTATACTTCCCTTCCTCCAGTCCTCCTGTCTCTGGCTCTCACCAGACACACATGGCTGGCAGGGAGATACTGTAAGGATAACCTGCTTTTATTATTGCTGAAGGTAAAAGAATGGCAGGGAGCTGACAAGAGGCAAGGAAGGAAGGAAAGGGAGCTGAGATGGCTCAGGAGAGGGGCAGCCACTCAAGCCTCTCTGCCAGGCAAATTTGTTGATGGCTTCAGTGTCAGAAAAGCACTGGTCAGAGGACAGAGAAGCTTCTTCTACTGTGACACTAACAGCAGGGCTCTGTGGGGACAAGCAGTGGCTTATGGCTGGTAAAGTGGAATTAAATGTATTCACTCTGCCTCTGACAACTGAACATCATGGGGTGACAGCCAGCTGCCCTCCAGTACTGCCCCTGGGCCTCACATCTCAGGTCTCTGTTCTGAATATCCCCTGCCCAGGGTCCCAAGCCCAGCAGTTTCCTTCACCATTACCCAGGGCATAATAAGCTTCCAGATCCTGGTCCATGAGTTCAAGAAAACGCTGGATTCGATCCAAGGAGACTTTGGATTCCAGGATCCCATTCAACAGCCATGGGAAGTTGTTGAGGGGGAGAATAAGCATCCCAACAAGAGCCAATGATGTGAACACCTGCATGGGTAAAGAAACAGCCACAAGCTGAAGTCAGTACCTCCCTTGTATCTTGTATACTCCAAGCAGCTTGACCAGTGAGAGCCTGAAGAGACACAAGCTGGGATTATTTCCCAGAGAAGGTGCTCCAGGACTGCAGCCCCACTGCAGATTGTGCTCTGCACAAGACAAGGTTGGAGCTCTCTCTTCTACTTACTCACCTTTGTGGCAGTGAGCTGGTGACCCAACAGAACATAGGTGATGAAGATGGTAATGGAGACAACAACAGGTAGTGCTGCCCACAGATACACACAGAGAGCATCCAAGTACTTGATGGTTCGTAACGTCTGCAGCTCTTTAGCCCGGCAGGCATTTATTCTGGTGCTGAAGTGCTTCTCCCAGGCGTAAAACTTGATCACACGAATGCCACATAGGAACTCTGTCATTAGCTGCAGGCAATGAGGAAAAGCACATCAAGCAAATAGTGCCTGCCTACACACCAAATGCCAGCTAGGCACTGGGGCTGCAGCCAGGTGTGCTGTTGTCTCCTGCTAAGGGTCAGGCTAGAGATACGAGGAACCATTTATTGCTAACAAAGACATAAACTCAAGTGGCAGCTACTGGGAACTTTGTGCTCACTCATTCCACTGGCTTCTTCAGCCACCTGTGCTGTGTACATCTATGGCTATCCTGTTTAAGGAAAAGCAAAATATTACATTACTTCCCAACTGAAAGCTGTGCAACACAGGTGAAGGGATGTGTGGAATTACTAGCTCCAGCCTGGATATCATTTACCCATGTTGAACTGACAGTGTCTTGAGATAATAACACCTGACTCTAAGGCCTGATGCTATCCTGACACACCTAGTGTGTATCCAGATTCTGGCTGGCTCACATCCAGCAGCTCTGGTGTCCCTGCAGGATGTCAGCCTCTCATTTCTGCTCTGAGGTCAGCGTGTACAGAGCCAGCTGACATATGTCTGTGCCCAACATGAAAGAAAATTACAAGAGAGAATTCATTCAGCAAATCAGTCTTACAATAGGTGGAGAAAGTCCAGCATAATCACATGTGTATCCAGATTCTGGCTGGCTCACATCCAGCAGCTCTGGTGTCCCTGCAGGATGTCAGCCTCTCATTTCTGCTCTGAGGTCAGCGTGTACAGAGCCAGCTGACATATGTCTGTGCCCAACATGAAAGAAAATTACAAGAGAGAATTCATTCAGCAAATCAGTCTTACAATAGGTGGAGAAAGTCCAGCATAATCACATACAACTACATGTCTGTAGGGATAGGGAAAATAAGTATTTTTAAAGTTCCTGAGAGTTCTGACATGGAGTTGATTTATGTTTCATGCTTCCAAAGCATGCAATTTCAAGTGAAACTGCTGTCCCCTCAAATAAGAGATACAATGCTAGAAGGTGGGAATCAAATGTTTGACATGTGGCAAGGAGAGAGATGGCACTGCAAATATGCACAAAACAGCAGAAAAGATGACTGAGAGTGCCAAGCTTGGAGTGATATAAAATTACATCTATGGTCCTTGTCTTTGTCCAGACTGAAAGCCACTTCACCATTGATGGCATTATTGGAGCAATAGGAAGAAAGAAAGCATCTCTAGAGAAAGCAGTCATGAATCCTACCTTAAATACTAGACAGAGAAAGGAAACCTGCAAAGGAACCTAAATTAGCCTGGGGGACAAGACATGCATTAGCAGTTCACTATCTTAAGGGTGGTGAAACTGCATCACCCTGAAACAGTTTTGAACCACATGTCTGTGTGTGCCCCCTCTGGCATTTTTCCCAACACCTGTGATTCAACTAATCTGCTTTGGCTCATGACAAGTGGCCAAAAAGCCAATGTTCTGGGGACAAACAGGGAAAAAATACAACAGCTGCCCCTCACCTTGACCCGTGTGTCCTTGTGTTTCAGCATCTCCTTGTTGTTCATCATTATGCGGTTAGCTATGATCTTGTTGATGGGCACAAGCAGCAGGGCCAGGGCCAAGCCTCCTAGAAAGGCTACCCCCACTTGCTGGTAGAGGAGGTAGAGGGTAATGGCAAACTGGAAAGGCAGGCTCCACACCTCATGGAAGGCGAAGCAGAAGTTGACCAACCTACTGGTGTCCGTGCTCATGAAGTTGACAATTTCCCCCACAGTGAAGTGTGTAAGGCTGGCGCTGCTGACACGCAGAGCCTTGCGGTAGATGGCAGAGATGAGGGCAGCCCGCACCATCAGCGTCACCTTGTTCACCTGGTAACTGAACTGGCTCTGCAGGAGAGCACCCAGGAAGGAGCCAGCAAAGAGCCCAAGGGCATAGAGCACCCCATGGCTCAGGGGCTCCTGCCGTGACTCCATGAAGTTCACCAGCAAGCTCAGAAGCAGAGGACCCGAAAAACCCAGCAGGTTGCCAGCCAGCTTGAGAAGTCCGAGGGAGTATAAACGAAACCCAAAGGCTGCATGAAGGACTGAGAGGAGTCGCACGGCCTTCTGGGCACGGTGCGAGCTGTCCAGAGCATCACTACTCCCATCTCCTCCAGCAATGATTGGGCTGGTAAGAGACGCTGTCTCCTCCTCTATTTGGTGCAGAGCTGCCTTCTTCTGCCAGCAAGAGTAGAAGCGATCACAGACCCTGGCAGCCTGGAGCTGGCGAGGAAGCACATAGACATCTTGTGCCTGGTTCAGCTTCCACTGATAGCCACGCTCCATAAGAGGGTTCATCCAAAGGTAAAAGAAGCACGAGAGCCAGCTCTCACCATCTTCTGCCACCACATGCTGATCAAGCACTGAGATGCCTGGCTCTGAGATGAGCTGTTCTTGTTGCCAGGAGTGATTGATGGAGAGGAAGTCTTGCCTGCCAGCAGTGGGGTAGAGGTAGCCGATCACATAGGCAAGCAGAGAGGCCAGCTGCAGACAGAGAATGGCGAACCTGGAGGAGGCAGCAGGGTGGGCAGGGGCCCAAGCAGTCCCACTTTGGCAGTACCACACCAGTGTGATGATGAGGGAAGGTAGGGGTAAGAGAGTGAGGAGAGCCAGGGCCACAGGACCCCTGGTAGAGCCACGAATGGACCTGCAGAGCATGAGAAGAGCAAGGCCGTGCACGAGCCATGTCAGGGCAGCAGTGCCATTGGCCAACACGCAGCAGGGTGGGCAGGGGCCCAAGCAGTCCCACTTTGGCAGTACCACACCAGTGTGATGATGAGGGAAGGTAGGGGTAAGAGAGTGAGGAGAGCCAGGGCCACAGGACCCCTGGTAGAGCCACGAATGGACCTGCAGAGCATGAGAAGAGCAAGGCCGTGCACGAGCCATGTCAGGGCAGCAGTGCCATTGGCCAACACGGTACACAGG